CTGCCAGCAAGACGTCGCTACCAGTGCCCGCCTCCTCGGGCCCCAGCTTGCCCATGGAAGGCCTCCCACAGGGGCCCCGGGGACCAGGCAGATCACCACCAGGGACCCAAGGGCATGAGGGGGGGTCAGGAGGAGCCCAGAGCAGGCAGCTCACAGAAGAGGCAGCTTGGGCCAGATGCTGCCACGTGACACTGTCACCAGATGCACTGATTTAAAAGATTTTTTTTCTTTTTATGCTGTCAAAACCTGTTAGACCCCTGTATAGGGCAACAAAACCCCAGCACAAGCTCCACGAGGGCAAGGACCACGTCCAGCCTGGGGTGGGTGCCCAGTCGACATCTGCCAAGCAGACAGATGACTGAACAGAAAGGCTTCCCAAGCTGGTCCTCGGGGGACCCTTCCCCGGTGTGCCTGGCCGTGAAGTCTCTGTGAGGCCTCCAGGCGCACTGCCCGCCCCCCACCCCACCACAGGGAGCTCCCCAGGAGCCGGGCTCTCTGCTCCTGGTCTCCTCTGGAAGGCTGGGTCCAAGAGGGTGCTCGGGAAATGCGGAGTAGGGACCCGGGCCTGCCGGCCTCCTCCTCTGCCCTCCCCACCTGTTCTGTGAAAGGAAGTGGTGGCCCCGCCTACCTTGGGGTCCCACTGCACCCCCACATCCCTGTCCCCTTGGGCCTAAGAGACAGAACCGCGGGTCCAACTCCAGACCAAGAAGTGTGGGAGAGCCGGCTGCGCAGGCCAACAGGTTCAAGAGGCATCTGCGGTCTTTTCCACGGAAGGAGGGCGAGGCCCTGCCAAGCCCGAAGTGTGTGTGTAAAAGACCTGGCTTCCCCGGGCCCGTGGCCTCCAGCTGCAGAGCTGACCTGTCCAAGGCCCTTCTTCAGAGCCCTCCAAATCCCAAGCAACCCTCAGAGAGCTCCCATCCCAGCCTGCTCACGGCCAGGCCTGTGGAAGGAAGGCAGTGTCCGTCTTGTGAGTAGGCCTGCCCCCTTTCAAAAGGCTGCCCCAGTGAAAACCCCACTGAAGAAATCATTGAAAACTGAAAGCGGTCACAGAAGAAAGTACAGGGTGGGAGCCCGCCCAAGTCACGTGTCTGTTTCTTAGACAGCCTGGCACTAAGTCCAGAGCAGGAAGAGCCCCTTGTCTCTCCCTGGCCCAGCCTGCCGCTTCATGCCAAGAGGGGCTCTGAGGCACCCGGGGCAAAGGTCAGGGCCAACCAGAGCTGTGCCATGAGCTCCTCCTACAAGGTCACCCTGAACGAGTGACTTCTCTGCCCCCAGCCTCAGTTTCCCTATCCCCTGGCCCAGGAGGCTCACTCTGCCTGTCCTCTCCGCAGAGGCCTTGCTGTCCGGTAGATCAGCGCCTCCCTCTTGCTCCCTCCCACCACCAGCCACGTGCACAGGGCAGCCGCAGGCCCAGTGCCAGCCGGGCACAGAGACCTCTCAGGATGTTTGGGATTCCTCCTGCCTGAAAGACAGATTGGCTCAAGGCTGGAAGCCTGCGCCTGGCCTGCCCTGGGGAGACCACGACCTGGCCCATGGCTTCCCAGCTCACGAGACTTGGCTGGGACGCATCCCTCCTGGGACCCCTGGGAAAGCCTCCCAGATGCTATTCGGATGCATCTGCTTAGAAGGCCTCTGGGCAGAGACCTTGGCAAATGCCCACTGTGCCCCAGTGCCAGCCCGCACTTGGCATAGAGTTCACAGCAACAACGTCGGCCCTGGTCCCCACCTGCGGCCCCGAGGCCCCTTTTCCTCAGATTTCACCAGATCAAGCCCAGTGCCTCGAAGTGATCCCAATTTGGATTTCCCTGTCGCACCCAGCCCACAGGAAAGAACCTCCTTCCAAGGTCTGGCAGCATCACACGGGGCTGCAGCTGCTTCTGGCCCTCGAGCACCAAGGCAGGGTGAGGCCTTGGACCTCCCTACCTTTAAATCACAGCTCTGCCAGTCCCCAGCTAGGTGATGCGGGTCTACCACTTTAAGTCTCTTGACCCCAATTTCCTCATCAACTCAGGGGTGGGATTCAAGGACTCATGGATCATGCATTCTATGTGTTTAGCGGGTCCCTGGCATCTCACAGTGCACAATCAAAGGCAGCTTAAACCCCGATGATAAAATGGTTATTTTTGCAATTGCATTTCTAGCCAGGTGACCCCTCCGGATGGCCGAGAGGATTAACAGACATGTCATGTGCAAAAACACTCAGCGTGACACCTGGCACGCAGCACAGAACCTGGTAACCATGAGGATCACAGTTCGTAAGGAGGCCTCAGAGAGGTGAGGCTGGGGAAACAATGCAACGAACCACCTGTTCTACCTGCTCAAATTGGGTCAGGCTGGAGCTGTGTACCGAGCTGTTGCCATGGCTCCCAACACACAGGGAAACACTCTAAGCTAGGAGGGTGGTTGCTGCAGGAGTGGAGCCTTGGGCCTGCTTCGCCCAGACACCTCCCATGCTGCCACTACCCCCGCTGTCTGGACCACATCGAGGATCCCCGAGGTTGGGGCAGTACGCCGCTCAACTAAGCAGGTCACGTACCCCTGACCCCACCCCAACTCCAAAACAGGGCTTTGGCCCTTGGGGGGGGGTGCTATGAGGAGGGGCTCCCAGGCTGCAGACCAGGGTGTGTGGAAGGGGAGTGGATGGGGTAGGAACCCAGGAACCCTCATCTCCTGGGAAAATGCCAAAGCACCTCTAAGCAGCCTCGGGTCCCAACATGTCTGTTCCCTCCAGCCACACTTGCCCAGCAGCGAACAGGCACCCAGAGCCCACTTCGTGCCTAGCTGTGTGAGGTTCAGTGCCAGCTCTTCCCTCCTCATCCCACTCAGCTTTCATCCAGGGTGAGGGTTGGCAAAGGCTGTCGAGGCTCAGCCGGGTTTAGGGAATCCATGGCCCATGGCCAAGAAGGAAGAAGGGGAGAGAGAGGAGAAATCCAGACGCTGTGGGCTGAGATCTGGAACTTTTCAGACTTTCCCGCCTGAGGGGGCAGGTTTGGGGCAATGGAAAGGCTGACAGGTAGGGTGGCAGGGGCCCCAGGGCCTGGGAAGCCCAGCTGAAACTTTAGCCTGGGGCTGAATACTGACTTCTCAGTAGAATCCAAGACCCTGCCCCCAACCCTCAACTCAGATGAGAGCCCCTCCACTGCTGACTCCAGCTAGTACCCCCAATATCTAGGAGGGGCCTGGGGCATGGACCCCTCTACCATAGTAACCGCAGCGGCTGCAATGATTTGCCTGGCCAGACGTGGTATATACATTATCCATTCCCCGTCACAATTGTAGCAGTGGGTATGACCTCCCATTTCTCAGAAAAATAAACTTAAGGTGCAAAGGTAGAACACAGTAGTGGCTAAAAGCACATCCTGAGTTTGAATCTGGCCTCTGCTGCCATAACACAGGCAAATCACTCCCTCTCTGAGCCTCAGTTTCCACCTCTATAAAATGGGAATAATCTTACACGGCATACCCCCACCCCCACCACCAACCTCCACTCTGCTCCATGGCATAATCAAGGGGTTAAGTGAGAAGCACTAGTAAAACAGGGTGCAAAGGACCAATAACTTAACTTGCTGGTCCCTGGAATCAGAGAGGTTAAGTAACTTGCCCTAGGTCACCCAGCCAGTGAGGGGCCAACATCCCAGGCCCCAGCTCTGAGCATAGCCCTTTACCAGAAAGGTTGGGCTGCTCTATGTGTGGCTGGCGGGATCACAGGCTCCCAACCCCACAGCAAAGGGCAGCCCTTGTCTGAATTCCTCAGATAAGCAGGCAGCCCCAGCCAGGCGGAGCAGGCCCAAGTGCACAGAGAAGGCGCACTCCACCCCATTCCACACCATAGATTCCTAAATCTGGGTTAGGCTGTAGGCCTCCTCTCTCTTCTCCCAGCAGAACATTGGACCACCAGATTCATCCAATAGGTCTCCAAACAGGCCGAGTTCAGTCGACAACTGCCTCTTGTGGGGTCCCTGGCAGACCACTTACTTTCTCTTTTTGGGACCTCAGTTTCTCCATCTGTAACAGGCAACCCCATCTCACAACTATGGGGCAGCCCGAGCTAACTGGGCTCACAAGGAGGCCTGAGGAGCCAAGGGGCAGCCCAGCGAGGGGAACCAATGGATCACAGGCCCTGGGTCAGGCCTGGACCGCGTTCTCTCTGCTGAAACTTCTCCACAACTCGGACTGAGAGACCTGTACTGGGCCCAGAAAGTGTCCAAGCTGAGACTCCAACTCCCATCTGTCACACTCCAGGACGATGTGACCCGGGGGGGGGGGGGTGCCGGGCAGTGGCCGCCCTCAGCAACAGGCTGGACGGCTGGGACTGCAGGATGGGGAAGAACACAAAACTAAACTTGACCGAGCTTCTTTCTTTCAGGGAGGGCAGCAGCCTCCGTGACAAGGGCATTTGCTACGCAAAGCAGTCCAGTTCCAGCCAGAAGAGAACGGTCACTCGGAGGGGGCTGGGTGGGTCAAAATCCAGCCCCCACCCTCCAGCCAGAGCCGGAGTGCTGGGGGGCCAGACCTTCCTGGGCGTTGAGGAGTGCCAGGGAACCTGTGGCTGGCCCGGGCTCTAAATCATATGACAGCCTGAGCGGCCAGCTGGGTGCAAGATGCCCTGGAATACTCGCCCTTTCTCAGCCCTTCAAGGCCGAACTCTGCTGGGCTCTGCCTGCAAGTCTGCAGAATGGGCCTACTGTGGGCTGTGTGTGTGCAAGGCCCCAAGAGGGGGCTGAAAGAACAGACTCCCCTCCCCCACCCCCCACCCCCCCGCCAGGTATCCATCTGGTCACCTGCAGGTGGGTGCACTGCACCCTGCCAGCTTCCCTCAGGCCCAGATCTCCCAGATCACTCAGTCCTGCCTTGTGCAAACCTGCCCCAGACACGCATAATCTCCAGGACTCCTCTGGGCCCCAAGGGGCACTTCCACACCCGCCAAGTGGATAGATCTCGCTTCTCAAGCCCCGCTTTGCGCCCGCCCCCCACGCAGGCAGGACTGCCGCAGCTCCTACCTTGACGACAGGCTGACAAAGTCCCCGCCATCCAGCAGGCGGACCTTGCAGAAGAGGACCCCATTCACGAAGGGGACTGCAGTCAGCTCCTCCAGGGTGAAAGTGGTTTGGAACTTGAATTTCTTCTTTTTCATCAAGAAAGCCATGAGCGAGTTCCCTGAGTCTGAAGCCCCGAGGCCCAAAAAAAAAAAAAAAAAAAGCAGGGGGAGCCAGAAATCCCCAGGATTCTTTCCCCTACCACCACACCCCCTCCTCAAAACACCAGAGCCGGATCCCGCCCAGATGGTGGCTGAGGCGGCAGAGCGGATGGGGAGCTGAGTCCGGAGGGCCCGGGTCCGAACGACCAGTCCAGTTCGCAGGCCGGCAGGCTTCACCCTCGGGGAGCTGGGGCTTGGACGGGTTCCGAGTGGCCGGGGGCTTCACCGGCCATGTAAACATTGGGGCAAGGTCCACGAGTCAAGGGCAGAGGTGGCGAGCGGCGCGCGAGCGGCCGTGCTGGCGGACAGCATCCCGAGAGCTGAGGTCCCCGGAGAGCTCACGCCGCGCGACCTGGCGCGGCGGGCAGACCGGTGAAACTGAAGACGACGGGCGGCCCGGTTGAGTACCGAGGGCGGCCCCGCCCCCGCCCCGCTGGCGGCCGGGGGTGGCGCCCACGCCGCGCTCACGCCCCCGCACCTGGGTGCCAGGCAGCGGCGCAGGTGAGTCCGGGGAGGCCGAGGGCACCTCCAGGGGGCGGTCGAGAGCGCTGCAGGGGGCGGGGGGAGGCCCCTCTCTCCCAGAGGTGCTTTGGGGAGCTCGGGCCGAGAACGTCCGGCCACGGCCCCCTCCCGGCGGGCAGCCGGCCGGGCTCCAGGCAGTAGGGGCGCCGCCTCCTCTTTGGTCCTGGGTCCCGCGCCGCGGTCCCCGGCGGAGCTGAGGCGCCCTTCCGGCCGGCCGGTGGCGCCCGCCTCACCCGCCGCCTCTGGCCGGCACCCCGCGAACAGGAGCGCCGCCGCCCGCGCCCCCGACGCCGCCTCCCGAGCCCGACGCAGCGCGGCGCCGCTGGGAGAATGCCGAGACCCCCGCGCGGCCGCCCGCGGAGCCTCAGCCGAGCGCGGGAGGGGCGGGGCGCCGGCGGCTCAGCTCGCCCACGATTGGGCCGCCCGGTGGGGCGGCCGCGGGGCGTGATTGGCGGATGGCGGCGTGGGGCGGGATTCGCGGGAGGCCGAGGCACCTCGAGGCTCTCGGATTGGTCCGTCGCCTATCTGGGTCCGCCTCCTCGATCAGGGCGGAGCGGAGGGCAGGGGAGAGGGGCCCTGGGAAGGCGGTGGGAGGTCGTGGGGCGGGAAGCCGGGACAGGCATGCAGGCTAGGAGGAGGGCGTGAGCAAATAAAAAAGGAGAAACAATGAAGAGAAGAAATAAAATGAGCCCCAGGACTGAGGTGGCCCTCCAGTGTCCTCCCAGACTTGAGTTCGTTGACCACTAGTTTAGGCCCGGAAGGTAGACTCGCATTTTTCAGAACACACACCCAGAGAGGTGGCTGAAACTAGACCATGAGCAGCTCTTTGGCTTCACATCCCTAGTTCCCAGCACTGAGGAGGGAAGTGCCTGTAAAGCCTTCGCCAAGGGGGTGAATTGAAGCAGTTCATCACGCAACCGGTGATAGAACCAGCTTCTCCTGTCCCAAACTGCTATCTAAGCCTTTTGTTTGTGCTTAGCATCTTACCCAGTATGGCTGATCTCCCTGACTGCACTAACTGCCCTGGACGCAGAGACCACTTCGGGAGCTTTTTAGGTTCCAGGCCTTCCACACTGCAGTTCATTGATTCAGTCCCCAAATGTTCAGGGCTGCGTGCCAGGCTGGCATTTAGGAGTGAGCCTGGTGGACCTGCCATCTCCAACCTTCCCAAGCTCAAGATCAGATGGAGAAGCAGACAGGGACCCAGGCAGAGACAAATCTGGTGAATGAGGACAGTGATTAGGGACATAGAGGGAACTGATAGAGGGAAGCTCAGTGCTAGCAAGAGTGGAGAGGAAGGGGACTCAGAGAGAAGGCCTCACAAAGTTATCCTAGCCACTGGCAGGATGCATTCCCTGAGTCAGGCAGGGTGCAGACAGATGGAGCCTCAAGAGGCCTGGCGGCCAGAGAGCGCAGTGCCGGCAGAAAGCTGTGGGTATCTGCATGCTGCTGCATTGTGGCTCTTTGAGGGAGGCAGGGGGCAAGAGGTGGGGCTGGAAGGCCTGTAGAGGCTGGATCTAGCAGAGTCTTGTAGACCAGAGTAAGGAGGGGAGCCACACGCACGTTTTAAGTGACCCAGACAGATTTGCTTTTTGTTGCAAGAAGTTCGCTCTAACTATAGAGAGATGATGGGAAATAGGGATGAGGGGCTTGTGGCTATCCTGGCAACAGGTAATGACAATGAACCACAACACTGAAGGGAAAAGTGGGGTCTGAGAGGCATTCAAGAGACAGAGGCAAGTGGACTTGGGGATGAGATTGGGAAATGTATCTCAGGACTCGGATTTCTGATTTCTTCCTGATTCCCAGCCATAGCATGGTGGGTAGCCTCTGCTTCTCTCCACTTTGTCCTGCAATTTGAAAAACACCACTAGCCAGATAGGAGAAAATTGATAACACAGCTCCCAGTGCTATTGTGTGCCCCCATTTACAGCCAGGGAAGTTGAGACCTGGAGAGTTTAAACTACTTGACTTGGGTCTTGACCCCAGAGCACAAGCTCTAGAGTGCTGAACTGTGCTGCCTGTGATGAGGTGGGAGTTTCTTCACTAATCCTGGCTGGGCCCCTTTCACAGGGGAAGGACCTGTAGCTACCTGATCCCAGGAGGAGATTTCAGAGGAGAGAGCTAGCCAAGGATGTCCCTGGCTGACTTCTCAGCTGTGACCGCGAGTAACCCCGGGCTTCAACAGGAAGCGGGGTGTGTCTGGCTGCCAGACTTAGCTCGGGTAGGGTATTTATCTCTTTGCCGTGTCGAGGCTGGGAACCCAGGAAGTTTCCTTTCCCTCATTTCCCAGATGGGTCTTGGGTCAGAGCTAGGTGCCAGGGCAGGATGCCGCATTTGGGGTGAGACAAGCCTGAGTTAGTATCTTGGCCCTGATGCATATGAGTAGTATGGCTTTGGTTTCAGACATCAAAGTTCAGGGGCTCCAAAAAGAGAGGGGGTTCAGTATGGTCTGGCTAGGACCGCTTGCCTTAGTACCAAAAGAGTGGGGTCTGAAATGTGGCCAACACAACATTGCCCACTGGCGTCACATACACTTTGAGTGTAGTTTTCTGTGCACGGGAAGGAACCCTGAAGGAGACACTTTAAACTTTCCCATCTCTGAGCCACAGTTTCTTTACCTCTAAACTGGAAATAAGAATACCAACCTTTCCAGAATGTTGTGAGGACTTCAAGAGGCTGCGTCTGCAAACGGCTCAGGCCTGGAAGGATGTGGGGCTCTGAGAGAGCAGTCTTCAGGGAGCACCAGGCCGGCACGTCCTCACTTCTCCAGCCCCCCAAATTGCCAAGTAGAACCTGTACTTCCTCCCTGAGGCCCTGACCTGATATATAAGGAAACCAGTACCTAGCAAGATAATTCAGACAAGTAAGTGGTCTGGAGGACTTCCCTGGTGGTACAGTGGATAAGAACCCACAGCTACTGAGACCTGTGCCTAGAGCCTGTGCTCTGCAAGAGGACAAACCACCGCAATGAAAAGTAGCCCCCGCTGGCCGCAACTAGAGAAAGCCCACACAGCAACGAAGACCCAGAGCAGCCAAAAGTAATAAACAAATAAACATTAAAGCAAACAAAAGTGGTTTGGAGAAGGGTTCTCAGGGCACTGTGAGAGAGGATACACGGATGGGGAGTCGTCCTGATTTAGATGCAGTGGTCAAGCAAAGCCTCTGTGAGGCCTTATCTCAGCCCGGACCCCAAGCACAAGAAGTTGTGGGAGCAGGGGCGGAGCTGGCGTGCTTCCAGGACTCTGTGTGCCTGGAGGGCTTCCCTGGTGGCTCAGCTGGTAAAGAATCTGCCTGGAATGTGGGAGGCCCAGGTTTGATCCCTGGGTTGGGAAGATTCCCCTGGAGAAGAAAACAGCTACCCGCTCCAGGATTCTTGCCCGGAGAATCCCATGGACAGAAGGGGAGGGGAGTGCATAGAGGGAGGAGAGAGGTATGGAGTCAGGCAGGAATCAGCTCACGTGAGACCTGTGGGCCTGGAAGGAGTTTAGACTCCATTCTAAGCCCAAAAGGACACCATTGGAGGATATAAGCAGGTGGGTGAAAAGATCCAAATACCTTTTTGAAAGTTCTTGCCAGTTCTTTCCATTCTTTGGAGAACAGATTGAACATCAGCAGGCAAGAACAGAGGCAGGCGGGCAGGCAGGTGAGGAGGCTGTTACAGCCATTCCAACGGGAAACTGGTGGCTCAGACCAGGGTGGAGCCAGAACAACGGGAAGAGAGAGGGAACTCCTGTGGAGCGGAGATAACAGTTACCCACTAGAGCTGTTTGAGTATTCCCAGGATTTTGAATTTGACTAAACGCCACCAGGTTCTTTAAGGCAGGAGTTCTGTGAGCATATGGGCTTCCCTGGTGGCTCAGCAGTAAAGAATCCGCCTGCCGATGCAGGAGACACAAGAAATGCAGGTTTGATCCCTGGGTTGGAAAGATCCCCGGGAGTAGGAAATGGCAACCCACTCCAGTACTCTTGCCTGGAAATTTCCATGGACAGAGGAGCCTGGCGGGTTACAGTCCAGGGGGGTCACGAAGAGTCAGACATGACTAAGCACGCATCTTTTTTTATGTGTGCATAGAAAAGAACGGGGCTTCCCCAGTGGCTCAGCAAGTAAAGAATCTGCTGGCAACACAGGTGACACAGGAGATGCCGGTTTGATCTCTGGGTCGGGAAGATCCCCTGGAGCAGGAAATGGCAACCCACTCCAGTACTCTTGCCTGGAAAAACTGACAGACAGAGGAGCCTAGCAGGCTACAGTCCATGGGGTGCAAAAGAATCAGACATGAAACTGATCGACTAAACAACAACAGCAAGTGAGCATGAGCACTGGGATAGGAGAGAAGAAGGAATACAGGGGAGTGGAGGAATTGTCTGCGGCATCGGCCTGTAGAACAGAAACACAGCTGGAGAAAGAGGGGTACCCTTAGAGA